ATATATATATATATATATATATATATATATATATATACTGTCATCAAGAAGAATACCGGTATAAGAGAAGATACTTTCATATCTACGAAAGGTTGGCATAATAGATAATGATACCAGCGCCACCAAATACATTGTAAGGAATCTATCCTTCAGTAATACCCAATAATCTATGTAGTAGAAGTCCCCTTAAACCACTATCAGTGTGGAGTTGGAATTAGTTTACAATTAATTCACACGAGGTGAATTATTTGTAGACCAAGTAGACAATCAAATATAAGAATAAATACACCGCAATGAGCCTCGGGGAGACTCAGTAGGTTTTAGTGTTTACTACATCTAGAGCTTGCTTGGTTGGGTTATGGATTGCACAGCCAACTGGCTCTTGAAATTATCCTGATGGTTTTATGAAGATTTTGGGATTTTATAAAAGTATTACTACGAAGTTCTAGTAGAATTTATGAAACTTATATGAATGAAGGCGAAAAGAGTAACACAGGAATGTGACGCGCTTTTTGTTGCTGCAATTTTAGAGAACCCCAATTGTAGTTATATTTTTGAACCAATATATTGGCACCGCCAACAACGTATTGTAAAATAACCAGTTTGAAAATCGTCCAAAAAATCGGGCGGACACTTGTCATTTCAAAAATTACAGTGAAGTCTTCAATCAAATCGAAAAATATATATATATGAAAACGTCCATGAGTAAGAAAAAAAAGGTTGCCACACAAGTTTTGAATATTCGGAAAGTAGACTAATAAAAATTATTCTATTTTTGACCTATTTATTTCAATGAAACGATTTTTCATAAAACGTAAACAAAATTCTAATACACATCCGAAAAATGTATCTGTGAAAACGTCCATGAGTAAATAAAATCTAAATTCCAAACCCGCTGGTCTATTAAAACATGTGCGCGCGGGATAAATAGTAGTAGATTAAAGCATGCTGCTGATCAAACAAGATATACTACATTCGGCAAGCCGTGCGCAATACTGTGTACATGTTCTATTGTTACCCGGTCTGTGACCCTAAGGACCAATGTTTTTGTGTCGGCTTATGATAGCCAACGGTTAGATATGTACAAAAAAAAATGTAAGAAGCCTATTTTAATGCATATGGACAGAGTATATATACGCCCTGATCCCATCCAATTGCGAACGCTGTATGGAGTGTAGAATATTGTCTCAACTGAGTAATTTGAGGTCAGGATGTTGATTCGTCGAATGCTTTAAACGAATTAATAGTCTGTTTTAGGGTTTAGTCACACTTACACCCAGCACACGACCTATGTTTCACACTTTGGTGTATTAAGCAGTAACCTAGACGAATGTTTATATACACCCTGTAGTCTCACAAGTGTCACTCATAGCCATATCCTTTGACACAAGATCCATGGCAAAGGTAATGCCACACTACTCTACAAAAGGTACACATGCTACGCCCTTTCGTTGGTATAAAGCCAGTCTATACCCCACTGACTACACCCCACTGACTGTGTCCCAGTCGTTTCCGAAACAAAAGTTCATACCTGACAAGTTGACGACGACATAAAAATATACATGCGTATGTTTAGGTACTATTATGTGCCACTGTATGCACGTTAACACCGTTAGATAATCACAAGTTCAGTTTACTATCACTTATAAGAAAAATATATTTTGTCGGGCCGCCGGAATAGGGGATAAAATTATTTATTTCAATTATAATATTATTTATTTCAATTCAATATTATTTATTTCTATTCAACATTATTTATTTCAATTTTTTTCTCTTCTTTCCATTCCAACAAAATAATAGTCGAGACGTGTATCTCTGGCAAACACTCAACAAAGTCCGGCCTGAAAATGCCAATATTTTATGATCACAAGTCCTACTTAAACAAAAACAAAATAATATATTTTTTCTTCTACAAATACGCTATTCCTGAAGAAGAAAAATATTATGTCGCAAATAAAACAGCAGACATAGCAGACCTTGATTCCACATCCGAAATAAATATTTATATTTAAACTGTCTGGATTACAGGAAAGCCAATTGGCCCAAGACTTTGAAAAACACCAATAGAAATTCAAAATAACCAAAATAATTCCCCAAAGGTCGATTTGGATTGAATTGTCACAGAAAGCCGCCAGCTTTATAATTCAATCTACCAAGACATATTTTTTCAAGAATGAAAATAGTGAAAAGTAGACATAGAAAGAAAAGAAAAGTAGGGTTTTTTTAACAATTCAATATTGAATATCTCTGTCCAATCAGTACTAGAAACAACTGATATCCTAGATACCGTTCCCGATGTTTCTGAGAAGAAGAAAAGAATGAGGAAAGAATGTTTATGGCACCTTTTGATGGTACTTCAGAACACTGGGCTCAAAATTCTGTGCTAGCATCACATTAATAAGAAGAAGAAAATGAAGGAGGATGATTGACGTAAAAGTTGGAAGAAATACGTGTTGCGGAACGATTCCGCTGCAAAGAGCATATTGTGTGTCAACATACTTGATTTATAAGCTGCTAGATCATCTGTAGTCATGTCCAAAACTAGTAAAACCACAGATACGCCCTACTGTGATTGTACTCCATTGTACAAAGTGGGTAAGGAGGATAAGCTAGATATCGCTACCCCCCCCCCCCCCACC